AACTAACTTACTGACAGATAAACGAAAGGACGGACGGGCACCCACCTTGGATTAATGGTCATTAATTATCTTTTATCTGTAGAGGACACAAATCTTTTTACAGATTTTGAATTCATAGTGAATTTTACATGCTGATATCCTTATACAATATAAAGCGCTAAATCCATTTCGTTTATATGCTAAAGCCAACCATCAGTCGTAGGTTATTGAGAATTGGTTTACTATACATTGAAACAAAGGATTGACTACGTATTGCAGTGAATCGCTTCATTTCTAATTAAGATAACAAAATGTACGGAAATATTACAAACAACAAAGCCTAGTTAACACACAACCAAGATACAGTTACTACTGTGGCACAGAGGCATTTGTAATACTAGTACCTCTTTGATGAGGAATTCACACATACCATTTATGATTGAAGCATCTTGAATTAACAAGTATATGTTTAAATTTTGAGTTAACCATCTTCTTATGTGCGCTTTCTCCAATCGGTGCATTTTGTATTCGGAAAAAAAATGCTTCGAGATAATATTCAACGATAGTGTTAAATTTAAAAATTATGATTAAACTAAATCAGAATTGAAATTGATGTCCGCATTATTTACATACACTGAAATGTAACACTCTTAAGTCGTGGTTGATTTGCTTACTGTCGTGTGTTTTTTTTTTTTTTTTTTTTTTTCGCTACAAAACTTTAAAAAACCGAAAACACGTATTTTTGCCTTTTCGTGCCGAAAAATTTCACAAGACGACAAAAGCAGAGCGATAATACAACAGATCAAACGCAAAAATAAACACAAATATTCATAAAACACGAAAATAAAAGGCGAAATGTGACGTAAACCATGTGTCGTATTGCTGACAATTTTTGTCCTCTTTTCGCATTTATCCTTGAGAATGTCAAAATACGAAAGGACAGAAAAGTCCCAGACTTCGTGGCAAAAAAGAACAGCAACGAAGTTACGACATGGCATAAATCTGTCACCATTCTCTTTCGAACTAGTATCAATAAAACACCAACGCATAGTTATATGGTAATGATAATCAAATGGGCGTATAGACTAAAGCAGTTTCATGTGACTTTATTACTTTAAAATCTCACAATCTCATATGTACCCTGAGGTTTATTGTTTTAATCTCTATACATATTAAAAGTGTTTGTACATGACATGAGCTATATCAAGTACTTAACAAACACTTGAATTGTACAAGTAATAAAATAACTCCCACACTGGCTTGATGTCATAAATGAGCCGCGCCATAACAAAACCAACATAATAGGTTTGCGACCAGCATGGATCCAGACCAGCCTGCGCATCCGCGCAGTCTGATCAGTATTCAAGCTGTTCGCTTACAAACCCTACTACAAGTAGAGAAACTGATAGCGAACAGCATGGATCCTGATCAGACTGCGCGGATGCGCAGGCTGGTCTGGATCCATGCTGGTCGCAAACCCATTATGTTGGTTTTGTGATGACGCAGCTCAAATTATGTTGTTAGGATGACTTTAATGTTAAAGATTTTTATCCATATTCTTGGGTTAAAGTATACCCTGATATCTGAACCTTAAATTTCAACTATTCTACTGAAACAGACGAACAATCTGTTGGTTGTTCTCAAACAAAAACACGCTTACATAAAAACTGAAATCAAAATTCATTACAAAGAGAGAAAATTGATCGTTCAACATTGGGAAATATTGCTGTTTATCTACGTACAATCTGCCGTATATATCGAAATAGACGATGTCATACGAGAAAATATTGTTTATTACACGTGGCAATGATGTTAAATGCCACTTTAAATTATTATTTTATAATAATAAGAAAGCAACAAAAATATGATTTTTTTTTCAAAACCCCAAAGATTTTTATTTAATGACAACCCTCTGCTATGAAATGTTTAGCTTAATTAATAATGACTTTTATGAAATATGTTAATGGCAATTACTTTTTATTATATAGATTCCACAAACGTTTCAAATACTTGAGATACAAAAGAAATAATATCAATATAAAGACACAATATCTATATTTTTACAAATACTTTTATTTTACGAGTTATTCGAGTTTGTTTTTTGCTGCTGCAAGAGATGAACACCAATATTCACAAAGATGATCGTTTTCAATAAAGGTGGGGCTAAAATTGATACAAAATTTTATCGCTTAAATCACTTTTCACGCCTTTGATGATTCGTTTGTTTTTCAAACAGCGGAAGCTGTACGATAATGCCAAATGAACGTAACAGTCTTTTTCTACGTGCCCGAAGCTTGGTTTATAATGGAAATAAATTATCTCAAACTTCTCAATACTAGTTTGCGTAAAACAGTAACAACCCATCTGAAGATGGTAATATTGTACACTTGTGATTTGATAAAGCTTGCTTGAATAGGAAATAAAGTTAAATATATTACACAATTATTGTAAACAACATTCTTCGGTGATGATGACATCTTCATAAGGAAGTCGAGCTGTTTTTGTAACATACATGTAAAAGAATGTTAGATACAGCACATGCTCATTTTGTATTTAATATATGAATCTTAAAAAAGGGAATTTTAAATATAACAAGTTCATATGTACACATCTTTGAAATTTAGACCTTAAGACGCAACTGTTATTTTTTTACTGAATAACTTTTAAAAAATATAATCATATCATTGTGGTTTTTCAAACCGCTTTATACATCGTAAGTATAAATGAAAAAAATCTCAATTTTAAATGTTGTTCACTGAGGTTTTTTGACATGCAGACAAAGACCTTGAAATCTTTTTTCGAGATTTGTGCACCATTTGTTGCAGGCCTGTACCAGCGATTTGTGTGCTGAATTTTAGATCATTCCCTTACTCTGTTTTCCTAAAATAATAATTTACATGGTTCAAAATGTCTAAAGAAATATAAAGCGTCGCAACGCTAAATTAAATCGGGCTAAAATTGTGTAAAAAGATCGGTTTTCGATGTAACTTTAAGAATATTTCTTTATCATCTAATGCAGAATTTTCCTCTTTAAGAGTTTCTCTAGTTCTTTGCAAGAAGCTCAATTTATTTTAGGCTATTTTATTTTAGAAGAACTGCTTTCGTTAAGTGTTCAAGTTTTGAAAATATTAGACTTTTTCAAATGCTTCTTAAATCTAAACATATTTTATCAAAAGTAGATTGTGAAGGAAATGTGTATCCTTTGTAAACCACCTTCTAGTCTTCAAGTATCACGATGAGGTATAAATGTCATAAGTTGCATACATGCGCATACATGTGTACAGACAAAAAATGCACAAGGAAGCGTTTTTCCTATCTTTCTATTGGATAGATTAAACAATACGAGCAAATATTTGCAAAGTTAAAAAGACGTTTTTATATTAAATAAGACACTATAAACTCTCAATTGGTAAAGAACTCGTAAGTCCTTTACATATTTGATCAAGCAAAATTTACGATGATGTGGTACATCTGCTCGTACCTTCCTTAGATATCATATATAATACAAAGTTTATTTGTTCTTACACTGTACGGCAATGAAAGTTAATCAAATTGTTTTTTAAAGGCACACTATGTCTCAGAAATTAATAAAATCTACTTCATTGGAATTACATGTAACAGACTTGGGTTTTATAACGTTTACATGATTGTTTTAGAGCATATCAAATGCTTGCTACCTAATGATAGAAATGCAAAATGTGTATTTTCCTGTCGTAAAAGTAGAACACCATAAAGAAAGTAGTATTTTAACTTCCATACAAAATACATATCACTATAACTGTACTCATTGCACAAAACCAATAGAAGAAAAAAGTCCAGGTATTTAGCCAATGAGTGACTTTTGGAAACGGTAATATTAAATTAAAAGATGTTGAAAAATAAAAATAAAAGCATTTCTTGGATATTATGTCCCTTTTATAATCCTTTAAATTATGGTAGTTTTATATTATAGTATATGTTTGTATTATATTAAATGTTAAGTGTCTTTTTTATTTAAAATTTTACAGTGGTTATAATAATAGACATTCGGATAGCGTTCAGAAAGGTATGATGTCAGATCGGAATTTTGACCGACTTCAAAGGTATATCTTATAGAATAATATCATGCAAAAACAGACAAAACGTCAGTAATGGTTTTGCAAACCTTCGTTCGAGCCTGGATCGAACTTATCTAGCACAGTCAAAAAAGCGGTAAACATACCTTTCATAATTCTATAATTTATTTAGATCGTTCAGAAATACAGTAGCTTACACAGAATATTTCTGAAATCGCAGCCTATCATAGAAGGCTTATTTATGGTTCTTGGAGCAATCAAATCTACAAATAAGCTGATCATAATACGCTGCTTTGTATCTGCTTTTATCCCTTCATTTCATTGCCCTCCTGCTTCCCATTTTTTTTATCAGAAAACGCCATTAACAATATCGTTTTGCCTGTTAACCTCCATAAAATTTTTCTTCAAGCTCGTCTACTTTACCCATCTTATTCAAATTGAACTGTAATGGCCCTTTAGATACATTTTTCTGTCAATATGCATTCATATTGAATGCAATGTTTACTATAATGTCTATCCTATGTGTTAACAATGCGTTTCTGCTATCTTGATAATATTGTAACTTGACTTTTTTTGATAAACACAATCACGCTCTTTAACTGTTTTAAAAAGTTCAATTCTACTCTATGTATGCCAATAAACTTATCAGATTTAGATGTCATAGTAAAGTTACGGGATATTTTTCTCTGGTCAAAGAGAAAATCAAATAATGTTTGTGCCATGTTTATAAAGGCATCTTGAGCTCTGTGGATAGATAATATAAAACGGCATGGGGGATAAAGATATTTCATAACCTTAGTTCAGTAACAGGTTAAGTCCTTCTTAATTTAATAAAGAGTTAATCTGTTATTACTCTAAGGTGACGATTTGAAGAAATCTGTAACAAAATGCACAATATCATTCTGTTTTACCCTGTATTTCTGTTACCGCCTCTTTTGTTCTACAGTATAGATATCCGGCACACAGATAATAAATATGGGTAGCTACAAATAACTCATCATTAGTTCGTGAAGAGTGGAAGATTTGAGATGGCACGTTACACATTGTTGTGTTTATTTCCTTTGATATTTTATTTTCAAATTACATTTGGACAACGGGCTGGAGGTGAGTTATATATTTCTGTTTAATAACAATTTTTATAATAGATAGCATAAACTTTGTCAGAGGAAAAATCTTATATTCCTTATGTTTGTCTTGTACAATGCTATTGAAACTTCGAGAAAAATGCTCTCAAATATATTATACTTCAAAATGGAAAAAATGGAAACATTTAAAGTTACGTTTTAAGAAACAAGAATATCAAGTCCTGTCTCAGTTATCTACGCTAACACATTTATTGTGATTGATTATGTACAGATCATGTAGATTTTACCACAGTTCAAAAGGAATTCAATTAAGAACTTAGCTTGCCAGAGGAAATTGAGTTTACCTTTGCGACCGGCGCAGACCAATATCAGCTGAAACTTCAGTGCTCTATGGGTGCAAAAGCACCTTAAATTATTCGCAAAATAAAAGTATGAAATGTACTTTATTCTTAAATAGACTTAAAAATATATTTGTTATTGTAATAGTCTGCCGGCTAGATACTAACATCAATGACGAAAGTGACAAGTACTTTTTATGCAGCCTTTGATATATTCAATTTTTGACAAACCCTATCGAAATATTTACTGTCCTTAACTGTTCTGTGTCTACGTTTAGCACAAGATGTAGCTTTTTATAACATGTCACAATGAAATGTTCAAAAGAAATTTAGATCCTTTATCAACATTTTATAGGAACGTATCTTTGAATCAGAAATCATGTGGCAAAAGAAGCCGTTCACTTGCGGAGAAATTTGTAATTACTAGTTGTATATTCAGAAAAGCCTCTAAGATGGGCGTACCGCCTCGATACGACTAACTGTATGTAAAATCGGCGTAAAAAAACTGTATGTAAAATCGGCGTAAAAAACCAAAAACAAAAACAACCCAAAAAAAACAAAGAGTCTTCAGCACATATTTTATTCATATTGCACATTTATATGTTTATCTTTATGCTGACTCATATGCAAATAATTATGTATTAAAACTTATTTCATGCTATGTATTTTTCTTATTGTTTCAATAACGAGGGTTAACGTTTGCTTATTATACACTTTTAATAAGATACTTTTTATGTGTTTTTTTTCAGAAAGTGCTGCTTGTCGGGCAGAACACGGTAACTATAGATAATTTATAATTGTAAATTATTCTACAAGCAAATAGCTTAACTGTAGACTGTAGTAGACAGATATTACTTTCCAGTGATAAGACATTCGTTTAATTATTATGCATGTATATTATGTATATTATACATGTTGTCTTTTCATGTTGTTTAATATAGATTAAAATATATGTTCCAGATGCAAATGTATTAAACAACGACGCTTGAATGGCACAGAGAATGCAAAAGATCTGAGCGTGTATTGTCTACATGCCTATCAAGATCATGCAACAATGCCATTGAATTTACATAGATTTGTAACATAACAAAAATGTTATATTGACTCATAGAAATAGTTGAGCTGAATTAAAATACAAAAAAAAATGTTACTGCTGTCATGTATGGAATTTGTAATTACAAATCAGGTGCTTGTACCAAACATGTATATGAAAACATACGACTGACTGCTCTTCGAAGCTCCGATTGTCAAAAATTTTGCCAGTGCGTACATGCATCTACAGAATTAGACGGAAGTGTCACTTACATGTGGGTAGAACAGCAGTGTCCCCCGACAACACTTTTTGATGATAGTCTTCCAGCGCCAGTGTGTAATCACGCAGCGAATGTTCAATGCCACGGTATGAAAACTTATTTGTATCATATATTTTTAATTGATTTCTTGCACGAAATTTATTTTAGTGTGGATTACAAACAATCTGATGTCTCCTCAAACAGTGGGATAAATAAATGTTTATGTATTATAAGTTCTCATGTGGTTTTTACTTTCCTACAAATCAACACTCCTAACATATTTTACAAAAAGAATACTGATAATATCGATATTAGATGAGAATTTACGAAAGGTGAATGATAAATTTGACGTAAGATAAGAAAAAGAAGAGACTAGATAAGATTAAGCAACATTTGCTCGTATGTCTCACAATACCAATATTTCTACTGACTGGTGGTAATATAACATTATTTATATATTTCAGGAACTTACGACGAGGATTGTAGGGGCGAACATGGTAATGTGTAATAATCATTTTCAAAAGTTAAATGCTGTTACAATGTAACTACATTCCTAAGATAGCGAAACCATTCAAATCTTTTATTAATCTGAACAAAAATATCTTTAATTATTCTTAAAACAAGCTGCCAATAGCTATAATGAAGATATTCCTTGTCAATCATTATAATGAAACAAGTTGTAACACAATGTATTTATTTTCAGGGGCATGCACTCAGTTTATTTATGAAAATGTCCGCTTAGTTGCTCAGAAGAGCTCCGGCTGTAAGAAATTCTGTCAGTGTGCACATGCGTCGACACAGTTAGATGGATCTGTGACGTATCATTGGGTGGAGCATACATGCCCTGCAGGAACTTTATTCGACAGCAAAATTCGGGTCTGCAACCATGCAGATAACGTTCAATGTTCCGGTGATTATATATTAATACTTCAGTGTTACGTCTAAAAAATATACGACGAAATGTGGCGCTCATCATCAAACATCATCAAATTTAAAGTTATAACATTTTGTCCAGGTATTTCGTCTGCTATAATACAAAGAAAGACTATTTAAGAAAAGCATGAATGTTTATACTGGTTACCACGTTTATAACATATGATAATTCCGTTTCCCCTTTTGAAATAAAAGGTCCTCAGTCATTTCTTAGACAATATGATATTGTGTTTGCAAGTACTGTCTACATATTTGATAAAAAAAAGATAGTTTGTCGCAAATTAATTACATTTAGGCAGAAGTCGTTAACGTTTTCAAACTAGTAAAAATAGAAAAAAAATACTAAAACGTTTTAATGTGATGCATGTAATATGTTTTTTTTACGAGCCTGTGATTTGTACTCAGGATTTGATCATATTCGTGACTTGGGTGAAGGAATGAGGGGATGACTGGGGTCTGGTAAAATGTGTATAGTCCCTTAACTCTATTTGTACATTTGTCAAATAAAAAACTGACTCTGGTGAATTTGAATTGTAAAGTTCTTCTTTATCTTCCTACTCAATAAACCATTCTAATTAATTTCGTGGTAACTGCTTAGTACAACTCATTGTTTTCCCGCCTTTTTTAGATACTATTTACTGTAGATTGGCGTTGTATATAAACATGTTATACACCTTATATACAAATTACCAATACAATATCTATTTTATTTAAAGGATCAGGATCAGGTAATTCCGGCTCGAACGGTTCGCCTACGACACAGCCGTCCGGAGGAGGACAAGTCCCAATTGTTTCAGGTATAATATTCTGGTGATGATGGCATAATTATGATATCAGTCAAAGAAAAAAAAAAAAAAAAAAAAAAAAAAAAAAAAAACGTTCTGTTTAACGTAATACAGGAATCTGTTCTCTTTTGCTTATTATTTAATTATTTCCAAAGAACAACATTAATCCTGTCATTTGAGACAAACATGAAGAAGTAGATATAGTTATTTTAAATTAAAAAAAATAAACGCATAGATGTTACTTATGGAAATTTTGTACTTCAGATCATGGCATGATTTGCAGACTTTTTATTTCGATAAGTACGAGTTAAAAAAGTTACAGGAAGTTTTCAGTCCCTAATGCGTCAATGTCACTTATTTATTTATTATATTTATTACTTGCATTTTTAAATATTAGTTCTTCAAAATGTGTGCAAATATTAATTCAATATCATAAGTGTTTATACGTACGAGTGTTTTGAACTGTTTGTTTTTATATCACGTGAGCAAATGTTTATTTTCAGGTTATAAGATTGTGTCATTACATGTAAAATATAACATGCATGATGTCACGTATTTTCCTGTTCTCTTTGTTTTTTTGTTTTTGTTTTTTTTTGTTGTTGTCTGTTTGTTCGTTTTGTTTGTTGTTGTTTTTAGGGCGGTGGGGCGGAGGAATATTCTTCTTCTTATTATTATCATTATTTTTATTATTAATATTTATCAATTTATTTTTTATTATTTTCATTTTATCATCATTATTATTATTATTATTATTATTATTATTATTATTATTATTATATTTGGCAACCTATTAAATATTTTGATTATCAAACATATTTGTAGGTAAAAATTTTCAGTCAAAATTTGCACTCGTTACACAACATTAAAACAACAACATTTGAGACAAGCAAATTCATAACATTTCATTCATTTTCCTCTATAGTTATTGAAGTGACATTATGCATACCCATGTGTAAATTATGAGTGCAGGGTAAAATTACTACATTTTGCCATATTTGTGTTCATATCTCTATTTTACTATGCAAAAATAATGACAAATCCACGTGGCCCTCGTCCGGAATGTATGGGTTGCATTCATTTAAAAATGTTAACTGTAAAACCTTCAAAGACCAGTCCCATCTAAGGATATATTCATAGAATATGTTAACATCACTTTCCCTTTTCATATTTTCAGGAGACAATGACTGCTTTCAAGAATATGGTAATGTTAATTGTATTAATTCACCAGAACTTTTTTCAACGATTATCTAACTCTGTGCTAATACACTAATAGTTTTATTTTCAAATTACAATATTCGATCCAGATTCATGCTACTTTTTATGAAGAATATTAAAATGTAGCTTATAGTCATATTATAAATGCATACTATACATGCAAATAAAGTTTGTTTTGTTTGCCATTGGTAAAGTCATTTGAACCAGAAGTTTTATTTCCAGATTTCTTTTCATTAAAACCCGAATATCAAAAGATTCTTTGTGAACCCCCAAAATGATTTAGTTGTTTCTATCGAAATTGCCATAAAGAATTTAAATTATTGATGTTGATACACAGGTACTTGTACGAAGCACCAATATGAAAATGTAAGACTGGTTGCTCTGAAAAGTTCCGGATGTAAGAATTTCTGCCAGTGTGCTTACGCATCTACGGAGAGTGACGGCTCCGTGACGTACAAATGGGTGAAGAAGACATGTCCAGCTAATACCTTGTTTGATGAAAGTCTTCCAACGCCAGTCTGTAACCATGACTACGATGTTCAATGCCAGAGTAAGATATGTGACCTTTTAATAAGAATATGTACATTATTCATAAGTCAATACATCCTCGGTAACCCAGGCTATTTACCGTATACACGTATCGATATTAAAGGTAGTATATACGGAATGTGTACCGTGGGTTCCGACGATGAAGTCAATATAAATCACTAAAATTATTCTGAGGTATTTTTATTATTAATAGTATCTCGTTATCATTCTTTTTACTTGTTTGAAAATCTATCATTGTTTAACAGCTCACCACGATTATTTGAAACCTTGACCTCTTCCTTAATCAATATGTACATCGTCGTGACCGTCTTAGACATTCAGTAATCTTTAGTTTATACTCGATTATTTTATTACCAAACGCAAATAAACTATAAACAATGTAATCATTTTAAGCACATAAAGTGAACTTTTAAACTTCAACCTTCATAATGAATGATGATATAAACTCAAGAGTCTAACAAATATTTTTTTTATGTACAGTCAAGTATAACTTTATCTTTTGGTCTACAGTCTGAAATAGTATACATGTATACTTGTATATTTTTTCAGAGGAGGAGAGTGAAGATTGTGAATCGGAATACGGTAAACTATATAAAGATTTATGAATTTTTATGGCAATTTACATTTTGTATATATGGCAATTTTCAATTGTATATGGTAATTTTGATTTGTATTGCATAAATAACGTTCATATAATGATTGAATTGAAACATAGTTGTGTTTGACACGCAGTAAATCTGTTCTTGTTGCAATACCTCCACACACACACAGACACCACCACAGACTGTATATTGTTAATCAAAAGGCTTGATAACTCTTAACTATGTCTTATTTAAGTTTTTAATATTCTTTTAATCACCAAAAATTAAAATGTGTCTAAGACTTTAAGATAAAATCATTTTAAGCATATTATTTTACTTTTTATAATCATTGTGTAATTTAAAAAGCCCTATATAAACAAACAGACTGATTGAAATTTTATTTATTTATTTATTTGTATTTATTTTGATAACAGGTACTTGCACAAAGTATACATACGAAAATGTACGACTTGTTCCAAAGCGAAGCTCCGGATGTGAAAAGTTTTGTCAGTGTGCGCATGCGTCAACCGAAATTGATGGTTCAGTCACATATAAATGGGTTGAACATGATTGTCCTGCAGGTCTTCTTTTTGACGAAAACATAAAAGTCTGCAATTATCCCGGAAATGTCGAATGTGCCGCTGCTGGTAATTTTTAAAACAACACCACATGTTTCCCTTTTACGAACACAATAGGTCAAAAGATTCAAGATTGTGCCGGCCATAATGCACTGTTTATTTCATAATCCAACGTGATAAACAAAACATTTATCATAAACTATGTATGTAAGGTCTTTGTTATCTGTCTATCTGTCCGTCCATCCAAGGAAACATTTTGGGTTTAGGGGCTATTTAACAGTAAAGAAAACAAAAGAGAACAATAGGTTCATTCCGTGATCAAAGGGTTTAGGGGCTAGTAGCCCTTAAGGAAACAAAGAAAATAAAAAAGACAATAGCCCCTAAAGCCAAAATGTTGGAACGTCCGTCCATCCATCGATTTAGCAAGAAGACATGTCAGTCGAAATAAGTGATACAAAATTTTTGAGAGAAGAGGAAAAAATGATATGATGTTACAAATAAAAAAATGGACTAAAAAATAAAAAGATTTAAAGAAAAACAACTTATTTTCTCAAAATGTTTGACATAGATTGATTACCTCTTGCATAAATTGATCATAATAACTGTTTAGTGGTAAGACTTATATTAAAGGAAAGTTAATTTTATGTTTTCAGGTAATACGGAAGAGGAGAAAGAGCTTGAACAAGTTGAGGAAGCGAACACATCACCTGGAGGTATTTTATTTTTAGAAAAAAAACGTGTTTTACTAGGCCAATATATACTTTACACTGACATATTAAACCATATTTTAATACCTAAATACATGTACTACAAATCAGATTGGTTTTGAAATGGTTACTGTTGAATTATTTGAAATGTTGCTATATTAACGAATTTGTCATCATAGTAACTAGTCAATGTTTTTTTTTATTAACAAATAAAGTTTAATAAATTTAACCATGATTTGTTACTGAACTAAAAAGATAATTGTGTATTTTTTACCAGGTTATATATACATCTAAACTGCTTATAAAATGTATAGTTATTATATTATAGGACATATTTCAGCACATCGTGCAAAGTCGCCATTTTCTGTTGCCCGTGGTGGTATCGGACAGATCATGCAAATTTCAATGATTTTTATATTTCGTGAAAACTGTAAAAGGTCTTAGAGATGCAGACAATTAATATGCATTCATGACATGTATGTGATTTTAGTGGTCAAAAGAGCTTTTTCTAAATTATAACATAATTAATGAATTAAGGCATACTTGTCAAGTAAAGCATATAATTTATGATATTTATCGTATCGATACATAGCATGTTTCACGCTTTTTCAGGTGACGATGCTGATTGCTATGAAGAATACGGTAAAAATATATACGTTGTCTATCACGTAATGAGACAAAAATAAAAATAAACATGTGTTATTTCTTAAATACAAAGATCCATAATTGGCAAAGGTCATAAAACATTGGTTAGGTAGTTTTTAAATCAATTTAGTATTTTAAATGTTTACAAATACATGTATTTGCAAATGTTGAGTTTTATGTTTAACGTTGTTTCCAAACGGCCATCATATAATGATCAAACATACTATGAATTGCTTTTAATATCTAAAAGTTATCTTACTTATACAAATCTGACTAGTAAAATCTATTAATGAAGTTAAGTAGTACCTTTTGAGAAAGACCGCCTGAAGTCGGGTGTTATAACAATTTTTGCGTTTTTCGAATACAAAAAATTACATTTTATTCAGTTTAAACTGAAATTAAATAAGATTATTATAATAAAAAAATAAAAAAGCGAAAACGAAAACGACAACTGAGTATAATTGAGAACTACTTCTTCTTTATAGGAAGATGCAATAAATACAAATACGAGAATGTAAGGCTTGTTGCCCTTAAAAGTTCCGGATGCAAAAACTTCTGTCAGTGTGCGCATGCGTCAACTCAGATTGATGGGTCAGTGACGTATAAGTGGGTGAAACAGACATGCCCGGCTAGAACATTGTTTGATATGGATCTGCCAACACCAGTCTGTAACCATGACTACATGGTGACGTGTCCCAGTAAGTAATTGACTAGCATGGCATAACGTTCTCTTTGTCATAGCATTTTGATTACATTTTGAAAACATAGAGATAAGATAAGATATGATAAGATAAGAAAGGATTGACAAAAAATGTAGATTTTCAATACTCAGATTTGCCTCAATACTCACAAAATTGCTGATTTTTTTTTATTTTCAAACGCATCAAAGTAAAATACATGTTTTTCTTATAATTAAGATATAAACATATTCTAAGAACTATGAGCACTACTTAACAAACCTAAATCATATACCTCTTCCTTATTACAGGCGTTGGTGACAGCAAAGATGGTTGCCTCAATGAACTCGGTAATGGATTATTGTGCTCGGTTCTTATTTTAAATAATCAATATGATTTAAAAAAATGAAACTACAGAAAATATATAAAACTATTTTAAAAAATGGATAATTATTGTATCACAGATCCAATACCTTTGTCAAGAGTTCAATCGTATACCCATAAATGCTTACCGGTATAGTACCGGTATTAGTTTTCTACATTCTTGATAACGCACCACCTGTCGGGGATAAAAAAAGAGCTTCGATCCTTATCCTATTACTCTTTAGATTTTAATATGATCCCCCTTCTTCAATGTTTTATCAATGCCTGCATATTTTACTTATTAAGTAAATAAATTAATATGAATTCATATTTTAAAAAATAATTTAGGACTCAAGTTATAAGTTAAATTCAAACAGTTTATTGCTGTCATTGTTTCAGGAACTTGCACAAAAAGTGAATATGAAGTGAAGAGACTGGCAGCGCTTCGTAGTTCCGGATGCAAGAAATTTTGTCAATGTGCGCATGCGTCAACGGAACCGAATGGATCAGTAACATATTATTGGGCAGAACATACTTGTCCGAAGAATACGCTTTTTGACGAAAGTCTCCCGACACCAGTCTGTAACTGGGCAGATAATGTTCAATGCTAAAATATAACAAGCTTAAAATTGGATATGAACTCGTAAAATGACACGCTGAAACTCTTGATCATTTCTTTTTTTTTACATGATTAACTGAATAAATGTTCATTGTTGTTCCTTATAATATTATAAATGAATTAAGAGGTGAAACTTGCACTAAAATTAAGCACTATCAAATATCGATTATTTACTTATATTGTTCAAACACTAGAAAGGAATAGCTACCGAATTGTATTTAATTTAAAATTCCATAAATTGTGTGTGCTGTTAATTAATGCATACTAAATATTCAATAAATTCAACTTTACTTTGCTTGTTTTGTTTATATCTTACATTGTGCTATGTTGTTTCTTCAGATGTTTAGTTTTTGATTTTGTATTTAAGTTAGCTTTACTTTTAAACAATCATATATAATTGTATTAATTTTTCAATACTGATTTCATTTGTGTACAAACTAGCTGAAGTGACCAATAATGGTTAGATTGTGATTTCTGATCAAGGCCACATTTGATTAAAATTTTGATTATTTATTAATTTATTAACAATGAGAACACGCACGCACGCACATGCACCAAAACACAAAGAAAGCTAAATATTTTTATTTTGAGTTTCATTAAATTTATTTTTCACATAATTAATGATGTATAACAAGATGTTTACCACACTCTTTTGTATAAATTCATTTCTGTTTTGTATTGATGCTAAAATTATCGTAAATGTTTAATGCAAATAAAGAATTTAATTTTATTGCTGATAGTAAATGCATCAACATTCCTAAAAATACGAGAATATCAAAAAAAGGTCTTTCCTCACAATACAACTTTGAATTTTAGTACTGAAGTAATGCCATTATCCAAAGAAATATTTTAAACTTTTGTCAATATTATCTTTATCAATACAAAAAAAACTATCACCAATAAATAGTTTTTTGTTTGTTTATTATTTTCACTACCAATAAAGAATTTATTGTTTCTTGAAACGTTTTCTAATTTCTTAAGTTATACTTGCAAAGAAGTACCAATAAATACATTTTGATACATCGCATTAGCTTTTTCTTTCTTTTATTCTTTATTTATTATTTTTATTTTATTTTATTTTTTTTGCATACCATACTTGATAAATTAAAACCATTACCTTGAAGGCATGTTTGCAATACCAAAGTAGCGGAAAATACACTACAATATTTGATTTATGCATGAAATTTAGCGGAAGCGGTTTTGTTACTAGCGTTTGCTTCTTCATATAAATAATGCATGTCTGCGGTTATATTTTCCACTCGCAGTAGTTATACTTGTGTGTCGAAATGGCTTCTTACTCTTCCTTCATATGTTTCGTTTTTGTGACTTTAACAATTAGTTTTGTAGAGTCAACACTAGGTTTGTATATTTGACTTTTGTTGATTTTTGTATTGTTCGTGTAAATAAATGTACTCATAACTTTCTTTTGTGAATCTGATTTAAGAGATAGATAAATATATCACAGCACCGACAATATTGTACAAAAATGACATTTCTTGTTCTATACTTATTCGAACGTTCTGATAATTATCCCTAATTATTTATAAGATCGTTTAACAAAACGTAAGGTGCGAGGTTTGATAAGCATTTCTTCAGTTTATAAATCTTGAAGGAAGCTTGTTCCATGTTGCATAGAGTAAGAATCATCTTCCATTTATGCTTGTACCATAGTTAGGGGACCTTTTTGTTTAAAATGTGACAGAGTTAATTCGTATATGTCTATTAGTATTAGACAGCCGCACTCACTGTCTGCCCAGAGCATGCTCGTGGATTGGTTGACGTTTTCAAGGGGTTGCTTTGTATGACGACAGAGAAAGGAATAACGATAGAAATGTCACATTGAGATGCTCGTTCATTTTGTGACAACAGAAAATGTGTTTTTAATTTTGCCCATGATACAAAAGAAATTGAATAATTAAACCTCGGCAACGTGATTTATCTGGGGGTTACGCCCCCTCCTACAAATCAGTAGTGTTTCAATGTTCTTTTGTTACCTACAGTATAATGTAATCAGCTTCAATAAGTATCCCATTTACTTTATTATTTCAGACGATGACTGTAACTCACAGCAGGCTGGCGGTAACTATCTTTTGCTCATTCGTCATCTTAAGCATATTCAATATAACTCGCGCACAATGTAACTATCTCATAAGGTTTTCATCAAGGAAGTAAGGTTGTTAAGCAGAAATTTATATTTCTATTGAAGAGAAATGAGCATTAATGTAAAAACATACATGTATGTGAAATTTCGCTGATCCCTAGTGTACCTCAGTCCAGTCTGAGAAAGCAAAACCAAAGTAATTTCATAGGTTTTTATTCAAGGAGTCGGCGGTCATAATTCCGTCTCAACTCCAAAGGTGCATGCTACAGGTATCTTACATCATCTACATAACTACAGATGATATCAATGAAACAGTATACTTTATATTCTTTCGTGTACCATTCTGTAATTAAAGCTTATATTTGAAAAAAAATTCCCTACATAGATATCTTCCCGAGTAGCGCTTGATTTATAAAGAAAGAGATTAAAGACGTTTGGCATAACTAAGAAATTTAGTGCATTTTCATTTAAACGTATGTATGGGAGCTCTAATATGACAGTTTTGCTTTGAGAGGTAAAGAAAAATACCTGTAATCAAATGTTTTTAGTATAGGAGTGAAAAATAAATCAACTTGTAATATGTCAACTAATTAGAAGGTCCATTTATAGACACAATTATCTTGATTATGTCTAATAAATTGACAACATACATTGTTTTAATAATTTGAAACTATTTATAAGCATTGCACTGACACTATGATTTCGATACTGCATATTTTCTGTGTCAAGCTTTACATTTGACTTCAAATGAGCGTGATTTACCTCTTGCGTCTTTATTGCTCCATTCATGAACTTTATTGCATGGAATAGACCTGCATGACACGATATAGAAATTCGGTCGTTGTTGAATAGGTAACAGTTTAATTGTCTGCCTGTTTGTTACGTAATTTCTGAGGAAAATTATTCATTAATATTGCATTGCTAAACGTCACCATTTTAATAAATTCGGTATTTTAGCGTTTCTAGGCCTAAAACATGTTCTTATTGCATTATGTATTGTGATGTTTTTTTATCAGACATATTTTATATGGACTGCCAGCCAAAGCGACGATACATAAATTATTGCTTTAGATTGTCTATTAAATGTTTATTTAGAAGTGGACCAAAGTTTTGTTGATACTTTTCTTTTACACATCTCTTTAGGATATGTTGAGTTAAGGTGATATTTTAACCGCAGATTCCTTTGTCTGGAGTTAATTTTTCAATAAATATTTCAATTAAGGCTATCGTAATTAAATGTTTTACGTCCGTTTGCGGTCAGATCGCTTTTCATTTTTTTGTGTATTTTGTGTGACATTTTCTTCTTACTCAACTCATATTTTAGACACGTGAACCAATTACTTGTATCATTGTATATGATAACTCGTCTTTGTTGGTGTAGACGAAATGTAATTTTTATTATACATAACATCATGTGACATAAATTTTCAATTTATTCATTTTAAATTTAATATTATTTTATTTACTTTAGTTTTCGAACCAAACAATCTTTTGTAATGAAGATGATTTTGACAGTAACGGATCTAAAGAACATAATATTTTGTATATGGAAACTATTGTTAGTGTTACACTATAGGCGACTCGATGAAAAATGACATTTTACTGTATACCATCCTTAGGTTGCATAGGTGAAAAATATATTATTGTATATTATATTTGTGTAGATTTAGAAGCTCGAATAATATGTTTTTATTCAACTCATTAAATAAATTTAATATCAAAGCTACATCAATTCAATATTCTCTATAATACATATTGTTTTATGAAATGTATTATGCAACGAAATCAATTCTTTTCAGTCACATGTGACAGCTCTCGATCAACGCTTTACGCTTTGGTAAGCAACGAATGTGAAAGTTACTGCCAATGTGTCCCTCAGAGTACACAAGAGGACGGGACAACAACGTACACATGGATTAACATGTCTTGCCCTGCGGGTTTGGAGTTTAATAACGGCGCTCAGTATTGCGACTGGCCGGACAACGTATCATGCAGTTAATAAAAAGTCATTCGGACTCTAAAAATAATAGCTTCAAACATATATCTTTTTTCATAATATAATCAAATGCATGCATTTAGCAGTAATCTCTCTTATTTGTAGAAAGCAATCTGAAACTAAAACTGTATCAATAAACTTATTGCAAGTATTGCTTCTGTTGTTCTTTCGTTTATCAAGATCCTTTCGTTTGTTAAATTCCTTTCATGTATTAAGATCCTGCATATTGACTTAGTACGCCAAATAGCATTTTGACATCCGATCTCCAACACAGTGATCTCCCCTCAACAGTACAGTACAATCTGCCAAGTGAGGTACTCACTGTGAGGTGTTTGTTTGACATCGTTGTTCCTGATGTCGTAAGACGTCATTTCCTATAAATAAAATGTACCTCTGATGAAGAATTTTTAGTCGAAAAGTTGTGTTGATTTTCATAAAACAATATATTTTTCAATTTGTATCTATATTCTGATGTACATTACGTCGTCCTGTACATTGAGACACTGATGTTTCCTTTTTCTATGATAATTATATATACCAATGTCTTTAAAGTCATTATAAGTATTCATCACATACACGTGCCGCTTTAAAAAAATGGTATTGCACGACCGTGCATATATTTTGACGTGACGTCATTTGCGTTATAAATCAAATTGTAAAAACGGGGAAACGTGAAAATGACAGGGTGGAAAAAGCCCTCCCGTGAAAATGGACTGGGCGGACAAAAGCCCAGTCCCCGCCTCCCCCCCCCCCCATCGGTGAAATTAACAAGGCGGGCAAAAGCCCCCCCCCCCCCCGTCCCCCCGTAACAAAAATAAATATTGTTTAATACCTGTGTTTTTTTTTCAATGCACTCAACATATGTAGGCTTTTGTCCTACACTCTAATTACTTTTCCATGACGCGCCTTTAGTGTAACGCTAACATTAAGCGCGTTTTTACGAGTGTAGGACAATATTATACTCGTGTAGGTTCATTACTTAATATATTCAACTAGTTTGTGCTCGTTTTCCTCTCCAGAGACTCAAATGATATAATTTGTTATCACCTCGTTCAATAAATTCAATATTACGCCATTTATAATATCGTCCGTTGCGTCTTAAGGCCGACAGATGACAAGGCGAAGACCTCGCGACAATGTGATGCGACGCTCGACAATGTAAAACGATATATGGCACTGTTGCCTAAAATGTCGCTGTAAAAAGGGCGAATTTTTTAAATATTGCTTCTCGTTCGCATTGCCGATCGTCGCATCGCATTGTTCCGATGTCACTTCACGTCGTCGCTTGTCACTTTGTATTGACAAATTGTCACTTCGCATTGTCGCATTGTCATTTCGCATTGTCGAGCGTCTGGGTTAGCAAAAAAGCATACCACGACACTTGACAATACGAAACGAGCTCGTCAATGTGAAGCGAAACTCGACATCGCGAAGCAATATTTTTAAAATGTCGTAAAAATGTTGCGTTATTTTTCTGATTCTAAACATTGCGACACTGGACAATGCGAAGCGACGCTCGACTATACGAAGCGACACTCGACAACGCGAAGCGACATTCGATAATGCGAAGCAACATTTTGAATAATATCGTATCTTATAGTTTTGCGTCTACCGTTGCCTGGTCAAAAATTACCGTTCCAACTAAACACTGCAAAGTCAAGAAAAGTCAAACATTCCCAGTAACAAAAAATGGAATCAATAAAATAAAATAAATAAAAAATTACAATGAAAAATATAAACAAAGATAATAAATAAAATGAAATTTACTCTCATTTAATCAAGGTACATCCGCTGAATGAATTATTTCCACTGAAAAAAGCCCTTTAATCTTGAATCAACGTTGGTAACATTTTACAATCCGCCTCTACCATTGGATGTCTTTTGTAAATCCGCTTTTAATTGCGGCAGCGAAAACAACTTGAAAAAAACTGCCTTATCATAAATAACTGTAATGTAGCCAACGAATTATTTATGTTACAAAAAAAGGAAATTATGCCATTGCGATAAAACAGTTATAGTATATGAAACTCGTTAGTAACAAGGATATAACACTGGCTGGGCGACATCGCGGGATGTTTCTGCAAAAATTTGCCTCGCCATTTTTTAGCAGAAACATCCCTTGATGTCGCCCATGCCAGTGTTATATCCTCGTAACTAACTCGTTTCATGTATCATAACTATTACTTTTGTAACATAATTTCAATAGTCGGTAAAGTTATATATTCTTTGAGCGTATATTTAAGACAAAAGATGTTGAATTTAAATTGAATTTGTTATTATTTTAATGGCGGGGCTTTGTGGAATTTAGCGCACAATCAAGCAAAGTCTAGAAAGAAAAGTCCGTTATTTTTATAACTTTTCATCATTATTAACATGATTTTAATATTCAGTAAAGAAATATGTTCTTTGAAAGTTAACATTAGCAAAATTATTTTAATTAATGGGGTCCATTATGTTTTGTATTTTTATTTATTTTGAATTCTGTCATGATTATTTAGCATGACTTCAATATTCAGGGAAGAAATATGTCCTTGAAAGTAAAGTTTAGGCAAAACAATTTTTAATCTTAATCAAAGTTTTAATTTTTGCTGGGGCGAGTAAAATTTAGTGTTAATTCAAATACAAAATAGTGCCGTAAAGTCTTGCAAATTCTAGAAAAGCCCATTTTTTTTTATAAATATCTATCATTATCAAACAGGATTTTAATATTCAGCCGAATAAAATTTTACGCAAAAGATATTTAATTTTAATCAAAAAAATTCTTATTTCAATAACGGGAATAACGGGGCGTGTGGAATTTTTAATAATATAATGAATTCTGTCTTAAACGATTCTCCAGTGCACATTAAAAACTTAACAAATATATGAGGAAAAAAGTAATTACAGTTTATAACATACTGTGATAAATTTAAGTTTTCAAGTGTAAAGTAGGACTTTACTTCTGTCCCTGGTGGTGTTGGTAGTTTTCACTAAGGATCACGACAGTAAGCCACATTGAATTAACCAGAGCACAGTTCAACCACCGCATCGCTCCTGGACAGGCTGTCAAGAGATTACCAGTACTAGTTCCCTTCACTTTCGCAAGGAACTGAAACTGCTGTTCGCACCAGAGCATAGGTACAGTGCGAATGACCGTATAAAATATTTAATGATCAATCACAACAAAAGTGACCGTCCGGGAATCGAATCCGGGTCGCCCGATTCACAGTTCAACGCTCTACCTATTGAGCTAGTCCTTTTTCAGAAGCAGCATTACATAAGTCATTATAAAGCATGATAATTTTGTTTTGTAATATATTTAATAATATCACATTATAATGCACGATAATAAAGATAATCTGGTGGAGGAAAACCCCAAATGTCCCTTCTAAATTCTAAAATTTACATTTCAAATCATGAATGATAAATACTTGCTTCGGTACAATGCTAGGCGCACATGTATCTGTCAGTACTAAAGATAAGATATGGAACAATCAATTTGTAGAGTTACACACTTTGTTGCCAAAGAAAAATATGTTAGAAAATAGACAAAAGATTCAACTTGTTGACGGGGAACTTATAATGAGTACATAAGATCAAATTCCGAAACAAATAAAAAAATAGAAATTTGGTCAGATGCATTCATGGTATACATGAGTATTTTCATTATGAAACATCCAGAACAAACAAATAACCTTTTAAAATAATTTGCAAACATTAGATCATGTACTTACAAACACGTTTGCAACAAATGCTTTGGTAACCAATCTTCAATACAATGTTATGCAAATAAACAAACAGCGCAATTCACACCGCGTTATGTAAGGCCTTCATTACGTTTCAGACCACCTCAGACGCAATACCCTCGACAGGTATTTGGATTGCCAGCTCAAATAGTGCCTATAAGGACCTCGGGTTTTCACCAATTAATATCTTGGTTTTCGCTGATAAACTCTTTCAATACCCAAATAAGGATGATGCCAATTAAATTTTACAAGGCATTAGTACTGGTTTTAAACTCGAATATACGGGACCAAGAATCCCTATTTTTTCCAAAAATCTCAAATCGGCGAATGATCAAAAATGCTTATTAAGTAAAAAGGTTCACGACGAATTTATACTTGGGCGAATCCTATGACCGTTCAAAAACCAGCCAATTACTAATCTGAGAATAAATCCCGTAGGTCTCGTACAAAAAAAAACAACGGTGGTTTCAGATTAATAACACACCTTTCATACCCACCAGGCAAAAGTATTAATGAATTGATCGATCCTGAATTTTGCTCTAGGTTTTTTCGAGTGTGTCGGGGGCCGCGTCCAGTGAACGTTGCCTTTGCCTTGTTGATCTTTATTGTTGTTTTTTACAATCAGTCGTTGGTCTACTTAATTTTATATCAAAAGCTATTCCCAGTGGCCGTGCCTTCAATAGACGTTTCTATGACGCCATGTCGTATGTAAAGAAACCGTTCCATATTATTAGAGTCAACCCAAGGCATGAAAGAAGATGCGAATATTTGGCTAACATTTTCTGACAAATTCAATGGTTATGTTATGTTTACAGAAGAAAAATGGGTAGATGACTGCCATTTAGAATTATATACGGACGCATCTGGCAATAAGAACCTTGGTTGCGGTGCATACTTTCAGGGCAACTGGTAGCTTTTAAATGGTCAGACGGTTGGGACGATTCTACTTTTAAAAATATAACTTATTTAGAATTAGTCCCTATTATACTGTAATTTTAAACTTGGGGCAAAGAATTAAGAAACAAAAAGATAATGCTAAGGTCCGATAATAATGCATTAGTAGCGATCATAAATAAAAAGTCTTCAAAAAATAAACTAGTTATGGTACTCATCCGCCATTTCGTTCTTTTGCTTTTAACCCATTATGTTCAAGTAAAAGCAAAGCATATGTCAGGGTACAAAAATAAAATATGTGACAGTATTAGCCGTTTTCAGTGGCAGAAAGTGGCCAACGTTCTAGCGAACTACCTGCATTAGACCCGTATCCAAAACCAGAGGCATTTTATGCGATCTTCAAATAGAGAAAGAGTGATTAATCAATGCTACACTTGGTCAAAGTACACATAAAGCCTACCTTGCAGGTTTAAAATCATTTGAAGAATTTTTGGCAAAATTTGGACACTCTCAAAATAGATAAATACAGAAC